GGGGGGGAGGTTGTATAAATACGACTAGATCCAAGTGTCATTTTTTTTTCAATAAAATTTTATGACAAAAAAGGAGAATACTCTATGCTATGTATTCAACAAGAACCCTCTAGGCTAGAGGTTCCTTTGTTATTAATTGTATGAAGGACCATCTTCACTTGATTATCAGAAGCAACTGAATGATCTGCAGCTTCTTTCCAGTAAATTCGTTTGGCTATAATGATGATAGTATTATTGAGTTCCACCACTCACCAAGGTTCATAATCATTTGTTTGGCAGCTACCCAACAACAACAACAACATACCCAGTATTATCCCATACTGTGGGGTCTGGGGAGGGTAGTGTGTACGCAGACCTTACCCCTACCTTGTCTGGCAGCTACCCAAGTTTTAGCTAATAACAAGTTTGCTACAAGATCCAGATATCATGTCCCTGCAGGGACATCCAATATCATAAACTATCTTGCATCTTGTTTGTGGCAGTAATGAATATTTTTAAACTGTTTCCTCTCTAAAACATTCAATCAATCACTTATGCCTCAACACCTAACTAGTTGAAGTCAGGTTTATGAATTCCCTATAACCGTTCTGCTGTATTCATGTCCATTTCATTCTAATACTAAATAATTTGTCTTAAAAAGAAAAGACAAGTTACGGTTCTCTAAACCTAGAGGTCATTCAACTCTCATATCCTTTCTATTATGTTGAAGACAAAAATCATTACAGTACTCAGGTAGATAATGCAACAAGCTGCGCAGTTTATCTGTTTGCATGAGTTTTAATTTGTCAGTGGCATATTTTTCTCTAGGGTCATGTTCCACCTTTGCAACGTACTGCACTTGAAATACTGCCACAGTTGCGTCCAGCAGAACACCTTTCTGCAATGTGGTCACCGCTGCTTGCAAAATTATTGCTGTATCTTCCAAGCTCTGATTCCTGTATGGACAAAATTGAAGATGAGAACGACCAAGAGACCGGTGAGATTAGTTACTTGTTTGGAATCAGTACATTTCTTAGAGCTGTTTTTTATTCTTACATAACTTATTTTCTTTGACATTGTTGCCCAGGGATCAACGATGATGCTGAGGTCAGTAATGGAATTGCTTCAGAATCCCAAAGGGTAGAAGCTTCACCTAAGAGTCCTGAATCAACTACAGTGCCAAGTATCTCAAATCATCTTTTCGCAGAAAAACTTGTTCTCGTGCTAGTGGATCTCCTTTTGCAGGCTCCACCTGCTGAGAAGTACAAAATTTTACCTGATATTATTCAATCTTTAGGAAGGTGAGAGTTGATCATGCATGACAGATCCTCTAGTTTCTTTTCCCGTCTATCATTAAAAATTGATCATACTGACAGATCCTCTTGTTTCTTTTCCCGCCATCATTGACAGCTCCTATAGTGTTTGATTAAAAATGGTACTCTGAAGTGTATTCTTGTGACAAGAATCTATTTTAAGAGTTGACTAGGGGATGCAAGATATTGGAACCTTGTTATGAAGAAAACCTTATAATACAACCTTGTTATGAAGTTGGATAAAAAAGGGGCTTATTATCCATTCTCATGTTCTCTTCAGTTAATCATACCAAATTACTTGGGAAGACTGTCATAGATTATGATCAAAATAAAAAATGATCTACTTTTGAAATAATCCATTCTCCTCTCTTGCATGAATCTGTAGGCTTCTTTTGTAATTTTTTTTTTGGGCTAATATGTGTGTGCTTACATGTTAATGATACATAAATCTTTCTGGATTGATCAGAGTTTGAATTACTTGTACTCCTTTTATTGATTGTGTTCATCGTTCAAGGAGATCAATATACTCCAAGAATTTAGAGCTTCTCATTGAACAAGTTCTAATTTTCTTCACTAGATGTATGATAACAAGAAGAGACAATCCTGATGGCTCACTTTGGAGACTAGCAGTTGAAGGTTTTATTCGCATTCTGCTCGATGATGTCAAAAAACTGACAGAGAAAGCAGGGCCAGAGTTGACTATTATTACCAGACCTGCAAGAATGCGTATTTGGAAAGAAGTTTCTGACATTTTTGAGATATTTCTAATAGGCTACTGTGGTCGTGCACTTTCAGTAACGGTAGACAGTGCTGATGAGTCTCTTGAGATGAATCTCTTGGATATTCTTGGAGACAAAATTCTCAAATCACAGACTGATGCACCTCTTGACGTAACGTTCCAATCCTAATCTTTTTAGATATTCTCACTCTAGTTCTTTCACTTTACAGCTGCACATATTTTGTCATCTCCGACAAACACTTCATTTTGGACCACTGGTTCCTTCCATGCTAATGAACCTTGAATATTTTGGGAACTTCTGTATGCAAGATGTGCTTATGTGTTTCATAAGTTCCAAAAGGTGTAGATCTAGCATGTCCACTCTTCTTTGAGAAGGAACTAAATGCTATCTATCATGGTTTTATCTCAATTTATTGCGTGCCACTAGGCATTAGCCAATAATATTTTTTATAAGTATGCCCATTTTCTTTTTGGTTTTCTAACTACCAAGTCCAACGAATAGCCAACCACCTAACATCTTTTTGGGGCCCTTGTTTGTATAAATGATTTAACAACTAACAGTTACCTCTGCAGGTAACTGAATCCTCGAAAATATGTTAGGGGAAAAAATCATGTACAATTCAGGTGACACAACTCTGGTCGATAAATGTGAGATTATAGGAATTATTTATGGCCTTTTGCAGGATTAGATATAGAAATCAGCTACGAATTAATAGCCCAGACTGTGTGGCTTGAGAAGTTCAGCAGATGATATAATATGATATTTATCCAGTTTTACAGCTCAGACTTCTTGCTTACTATAATAGAGTTATTTTTCCATTGCCACTTAAAGTTGTATGTCTGTTTGCATTCATATTTTCTAATGATGCATTGAAGGAGTAAACTTCTAGATCAAGCATAACGCAGATCATGTCAATTTTGCAGATTCTGGAACGTCTAATCACCACTCTGGATCGGTGTGCATCACGTACATGTTCCTTGCCGCTTGAGACTGTCGAACTGATGCCTTCACATTGTAGCAGGTTCTCCCTGTCCTGTTTACAGAAGCTGTTTCTTCTGTGCAGGTATATAGTACCTTTTAATTGACACCGCCTTACCTGTTTTCCATGTTTGCGGTGATTGCCATCTCACACTCATTTCACTTAGTTTCAGCCATGGAACTGGTGAATGGAATTCAACTAGATGTGAAGTTAGCAATATATCAATAAAATTATTATTGACCAGATGTGAGTTCATTCTGGGAAGGTTCTTGATGGATGAGAGCAGATTAGGTGGGTGATCTAGTTATGTTGAAAGGGATTTTAAATGCTTCCATTTTTGTCATTCTTGTTTTCTTCAGCTTATTTCTTAAATCATACAACCACTATTCAGCAGAAAATCCATTGCCAGCAGCACGTGTGGAAGAAGTTATCTTTGTCCTCCAAGAGCTTGCACTTCTTGTGGTTCATTCAGACACTGTATCCCAACTTACTTTACATCCATACTTAAAAGAAGGCCTTACAGGAGAGAATCAAGCAAGGCGTTCGCATTTACTTGTTCTTTTCCCATCCTTCTGTGAACTTGTCATATCAAGGTAAGCAGGTGAAATGATGAAAGAGGATGTGGTTGAAGTGGTCAAACTCTAGATTCTGTGTCTGGGCATCTTTTGTTTAACGGAGCTATAACATAGTGTGGTTATTTCATAGTGAACTTTTGACTCTTCCTTTCTGTTCATTTTAAAAAACAATTAAGAAGTAGATATCTAATATGAGGTAAATCTTTATTAGCAGGGAAGCCAGAGTGAGAGAGCTGGTGCAACTATTGCTAAGACACATCATAGTTGAGTTGGGACTACAGAAGTCTACTTGAGCAATTTGAAAGAAACAGAAACGGTTGGCATTTTCTAATAGTTGGCTCCTAATTTGTTCATGCGAGTCTATTATATGAGGAAATTTTTGGTCTTCCTCCAATTTTTGGTGTTTCATAATGTATATCTTTGTGCATTAAGCCAAAATGAAGAACTCGAGAAAACACGGTTAGTGTCGAAACCAAGAAACTTTCTTGTACATTATTGTATGTATCTTTTTCCTATAACTCGATTAGGTGGTGTCCTTGTTCCAGCAGATTTTGGAAAGAAACTATTACTAGGAAAGTACATGTGGGCTGCTTTCCTTACCAATTTAAGCCCAAATTTACATATCAAAATCCTCAGTTTTTATTTTTTATTTTTTTAACCTCATAAAAATATTTTAATTCATTACAATTATAGCTTGTCTCTGTAAGGTGAGAGGAAAGTATTTTCTTATATTAAATTTTGTATTGGACAAGAAAAAAATTCCACATAAGCTGCGCATGAAAGGCCCAAAGTCAATCTCAGGGAACATTAAAGTTTCATTGGATCTTCCTGTTCGCATCTTTACAAACATGCCAACTTGTACGTGTATTAAAAATAATTACAAACATAGAAACTGAATGCACCGATGTCTCCTTTGTTCTCTCTTCTCCCTGTTTCTTCATCCTCTCTTCACCTAAAACTGAATATACTTGTCCACAACCCTCCGAGTGCTTGAAAAAGAAGAGAGTAATTAAAAAAGTCTTATTACTATTTGCATCATTAGAATTGTTTTATATTTTCAATTTTGGACATTTACATGATTTAGAAATCTTTGTAAAGTTCATTATATTATAGTGTTTGGAGCTCAAATCGCGGTTAGAGTATTGATTTTGTAAGATTTGGATGGTGAAAATTAGATTAGAAAGGTAGCTCCACCATTGTTGAACAAGCTTAAAGAAGTGGATTTGAATTTTGGATCTAACTTTTGTGAAAAGTTTGAAGTGGGTGTTGTTTAGATTTGTTGGAAATAAGAATATTGTCTATAAAATTTGAAGCCATTTGGTGGAGATTTTTATTGATTTTGAACAAGAATTGCAACTGAAAATTATAGTGAAGTTTATCACTGTAGCCGGACGTTTATACAATTGTATATACTTTTATATAGGGTTGAAACATGTTTATACACTATTATACATTTTTATGCATGGTGGATATATCACTTATATAGGTGTACAAATATTTATAATAATGTACAAGAGTGTATAAAATATTGTTGGAGAAAAAAATATATGCGAGTTTAAACTGAAAAATATAGCTACATGGATGCAATGTGTTGTGTTGGGCTGTATATAGTTGTGCAAATTTCCCTTATTGAAAACCTGGACAAATGATCCATAGAGTGCATTTCTTACCTCTTTCGTGTTATATTGCTCAGTGAGTTATTTTGTTTTATGTTTAACATTTTGTGCCTCCCTGACATTCAAATGGTCTGGGGGTGGGTGATGGTATATGATATGATGCAGAAATGCTCTAAAACTAAAAGGTTCCTTTTTCAGGTCTTGAATTGAAGCGTCCTCACAGACACACACACCTATACATCCGTACCTACATTTTGGTTCACTTAAATATCCTTACTGGAGTACATTAAAATTAAGGACCTTTTTGTCATTTTAACATAAATTTCACCTAAGACTTGATTCCCTATATATAGATTGGCGCTTAAAGAGACTGAGGAGGCCATGGTTATTCAAAGATGAAACACAACTTCACCCATTGTGTGCTGCTAGTTGCCACCTATGTTCCCTAACCATCTCTTCAACCTCTATAAACTATTTCACATTTCTTCTCACTCAATCCGCTTAGAGGGATAGCCTTTTTCTCGACAGAATGAGAAAAGCTACACATTCGCAAGATAAGAAATTCTCCCTTGTTTCCATCAACACCCAATAATCTACTTCACTTTTCTCCTTTAAACCAATAATTGAAAAACTAATCGAGACCATTTGTTTGACCTGAAAATTGAATTTTACTTGGTGGTTCGAATTGTCGGTGGGGAAGTTTCGAGTTATTTACTGTTGGAATTCTTGAGAACTCAAGATTAGTAGCTCAAATTGGTAGTTGCTGTATGTTTCTTTGTTGAAATTCCTTTGGTATTATTATTTGGAGATGAGATCATCTTTGGAACACTGTTTGAGTAGAGAAAATTAAAGCACCATAAAATAACCGTTGTTGCAAGCTTGAAAAAGGGGGTCTTGGTTTTGGATATGAAAAGTTAGATTAAATCAAGTGATGTTATTGGAAAAGCTTGAAATTATTGTCCGGGAATAAGTCCGGCTATATGACTACTATCAGTCAGACGTTGATAGTTCAAACTTCAGAAGTGGAGTGTTCAAACTTCAGACTTACATATCTGAAGTGGGGGACTACCAAGTTTAACTTGAGACATTTGTTAGAGGTTCGAACTTATGCAAATGCCTGAAGCTTGAAGTTATGCATTGTCTGAAGTTTTTCTTTGGCAAGCCCAATTTCAGACTCACGAGTTTGGAATTAAATTTAAAATGGTTAAAAATACAAAAGCTTACAAACTTCGGTTCTGCCTTAAATAGCGGTCCTCAAATCGGCTATCTATGCACTTTCCCTAGTGGAATATGGTCCAAGCCTAAACTACAATTGTAGTTTCTTCAGATTTATTCGTTTCCAGAATTCACTTGTTTTACACTTTCCCTAGTGGAATATGGTCCAAGCCTAAACTACAATTGTAGTTTCTTCAGATTTATTCGTTTCCAGAATTCACTTGTTTTACACTTTCCCTAGTGGAATATGGTCCAAGCCTAAACTACAATTGTAGTTTCTTCAGATTTATTCGTTTCCAGAATTCACTTGTTTTACACGATCATGTTAGTCATTAGTCATAATAGATGTCTTCTATAGATGAGCAATTATATAATTGCCAGAAATTGGCATTTGTTAATTAGTAAATTTGTATGGTTACAATAGCCAATAGAAAATAGCTAACGGATATTATTTATTCCCTTAGCCACTTATTATTAGCCTAGTAGCTTTAAAAGCTTTTCACAATGGGAAAAGGGCCTAAAATACCCCTATCGTATATAAAAACCTCCTGTCTATCTATTCGTCTGAAAATATATAGAACGTTAATTCTATTTTCAAAAGTGCCCCCGCGACTAACGGCAGCACATGTGGGCCTCTCATTAAATGATGTGGCATCCTTTCATTTGGCCACGTGGCTCTGTGGGGCTGAAATTGTATTTGAGTAAATTTCGACCCATTTAACCGATTCGACCCACTCTTTTTTATGTGAGTCAGTTCTTTTACCTTATACCCACGACAAAACACTCACTGTTTATCATTTCTCTCATTTCCTCTATCTAAACCATCAAATAGCGATTTTAGGGTTTCTTTAGGGTTCGTGGTTTGCTCCGATTTGGTGCGCACAAAACAGAAACAACTTTGATTTCCAGCACTATCTTGCAATATCATTCGATTAAAGTAAGTATTTACAACTTTAAGTTATTAAATTATAGGGTTGGAGAATATTTGAGAACTAGCAAGTTTATGTCTTTTGCATGTGATGTTTTTATGTTATCTGATGAGCTATTTTTGTACCTTTCTAGATTTATTTATGTTACTTTTGTTTGTGGTGGTTCTACATATTAAAGCTAGGGTTTTTGTCGTTTTGTATAATTAATTGATGGTGGGGGTTTCATATCTTTATATATTTATTGTTTAAGCCTTGAATACTGCTGATGTGGTCCCATTTTGCTTTTTTTATTTTTATTGTTATTGCATGTGATTTTATCCGAAGGATGGTGAATAAAGTAAACTTGTATTTTAATTATGGGGGTGAGTGGTATTGGAACCTACACTGTCTTATACTAAGAAAGATGTGCACCTGTTGAGTGGTTATGAAGTGGACCACCTCTCTTATATTGATTTGTGTAAAGAATACACTGAAGTAATAGGATTTGTTGAGGTATAACAGTTAGTATTTATTGACCCATCTGGGAGGTATTTTTTGTTGGATGAGGATGAAGGGATTAGGAAGCTTCAAGCCCTAATTAATAATGGTTTCACTGATGTACATTTATTTGGTGTTGACCTTCTGGATGATACTCTAAATGTTCCTATATTTACCCAGCAAACTGATACAAATAGTGTACTTGTTGCTGTAGCTACTGACTGTGATAGTAGTGAAGATGATACCGATATTGAAAGTGTTGATAGTGATGCCCTAGGTTTATTTGAGAGGCAGAAGAAATTTGAGGTAGCTAACCAACTTGATAGGTATAAAACATTGGAAAAAGGTATGACTTTCAATGATCTTGCTGAAGCTAAAGAGGTTATTGGTTTTTATGCTGTTTTTAATAAGGGGGCCTTCAGGTAGATAAGAGTGATAGGAGAAGACAGATTACATGTCCCTTTAAATATCTTATTTCTAAGGATGGTAGAGATCAAGGGATAAAGATAAAAACTTGGAGGGATGAACATGATTGTGGTGAAGTTTTTGAGAACAGAAGAGCTACTCCTGCTACTTTAGCACATTATTTTAAGAGAAAGATTCAAAATAGTCCTAAGTTTAAGGTTAAAGAGATGAAGGTTGATTTAGAGGATAGATTTAGTTTGAATGTGAGTGATTCAAAGTTAAAAAGGGTGAAGAGAATGATTTTAGAGAAATTGGAGGGCAGTTACTTGGATGAGTACAACAAGTTGGAGGCATATGCTCAAGAGTTGAGAGAAACCAATTCTGGTATCGATGTGGTGATACAAATATCCAAGGATGTGATGGAGGAAGGTAAGATAAGGTTTTTGAGGATGTATGTCTGCTTCCAAGCTCTCAAGAGTGGATTCAAAGCAGGTTTGAGACCTTTTATAGGTATAGATGGAACCTTTTTAAAAGGCAAATGCCAAGGAATATTGTTAGTTGTTGTTGCTCAAGATTCTTGCAAGCATGTGTATCCACTATCTTGGGCTGTGGTGGATAAGGAAACAAAAAGAATATGGCAGTGGTTCATGGAGAACTTGAAGGCTTCTTTTGACTTGAAAGATGGTGAAGGGTATACATTCATGTCAGATATGCAGAAGGTATGTTACCATATGCTCAGAATTGTTTTTCTTCAAGATTATGTTATTTAGTTTGTTAATATAATGTTTCTTCATGTGCAAGGTCTATTAGATGCTGTAAGGAATGTATGCTTATTTGTGTCATGTTATTTGTGTAATATGTCTTCTATGCTTTACATAGATTGTTTAATTCATTAATTGCTCGTGTTCAGGTTATTTCTTATGTTGGAAATTATTGTGATATTGGGAGTTGAGATCGCCGAATTATTGATAGGTGGTTGGTGCTAAATTGTTGGAAGATTTTTATAT